TTTCTTTTCTTTTCTTTTCTTTTCTTTTCTTTTCTTTTCTTGTCTTTTCTTTTCTTTTCTTTTCTTTTCTTTTCTTTTCTTTTCTTTTCTTTTCTTTTCTTTTCTTTTCTCTTTTCTTTTCTTTTTTCTTTTTTCTTTTTTCTTTTTTCTTTTTTCTTTTTTCTTTTCTTTTCTTGTGTAGCATTGACTCATTTCATGGTGTTAAAGTGCACTTTCTACTTATCCCCAGAGGAAAGTTAGTATTCTTTTAAGTGAAACTATTTTAAAAGCAGAACACAAGCCTAAAATAAGCCAGTGTTCTCTAGAGCTCTCAGAAGGTGTAGATTTATTTACTGTAGTTAAATCATAATTAGTTCTCAGGGGATAGTGTATCTTTTAAACTGCTTTATTGCCACCATATTGGTTTTCTAAATAATCAGAAACTGCTGCTCTTATATTTTGTAGTATGAACAAAAAATTCGCTGTAAGTAGAAACAAATGTTTAGAATTGCTGGTTGTCACTTGCTGAAGATAGGGACACGCAAAAAAAAAAATGAGCTCTTGAGGAAAAAGTGAAGAAATACAAAACCTGTGTTATCAGAAAACTTAAATGAACTGTGGCTCTGACTTATTTCAGCCTAACAGATAAAATAACATTTTACATTTTCGTTTTTCAGCCCATCGTTTTTTAATATTCTAATGGGTTTGGATCAGAACTAAAGGTTAACTGAAAAAACGGTGGTGCAACGTTAACATAAAATATTACCTGCTCTTTCAGCCTTGATTTTCATGAATGTAGCTTAGTGTTGCAGCTGATAAGCTTGTGAGGTTTTTGGTTTTTTTCCCTAATTGGCAGGTTAATGTTCGAGTTGCCTGAGGAGATGGGTTTAATAGCAGTGGCTGTTCAACAAACACAAGGGAAAGGTGAGTAAATTACCTTATTTTACTAATAAATCTGTATCAAATACACAAAATAGAACATTTTAAGATGCATTATGAACATTTTTGATAATACAATCTATAGAATATGCCTGTCCTCTTCTCCTCCCGCTCAGGCTGTGGATTCAAACTGAAAACCCAAAAGTTAATAAGAGACCAAAGTAAACATTTTCAGGATGTTTGGTGGCTTTTGCAGAAATGATTTAGTGGTCTCCTAGTTCCTGCCAAAAAAGTTTTGCCAGTCACAAAAACTGCCATCACTACACTCAGTGTAACACGAGTCAGAGCTCCAAATTAAAACTGAAACTGGGTTAACTGGAACAAGACTGGGGCTTGACTGCTCTGAGATTGAGTCTGCAGGACCTGCCTGAGCAGATAAATGTAAGCAAGTCGTGTTTCTTGCCCAGAAAAATGCTGGCACTTCTTTAAAAGCCACATTTATTCTCCTGGAGGAGCAGAGTGTGTGGCCCAAGGAGCTTTTCCGAGCACAAATCCATGAAAGGATGATTCCCTGGATTTCAGTGCAGGAGGGCTCAGGGTTTGGATGCATCTCTGGGTGCTCACAGAGCATCTTCACAAACGGTTCTCCACTTGAACAAAGCAAGATCTTTCGAAAGATCTAAGTTTCTGTTAGCAGAGACCAGGAAAACCCTGGAAGCAGGGGATTTAGGACATGCCGGGAGATTGAGTACTTCAGAACCTCAGAACAGAATTATAGAATGGCCTGAGTTGGAAGGGACCTTAAAGATCATCTTGTTCCACGCCCTGCCACACCTTCCACAAAAGCAGGTTGCTCAGACACCCATCCAACCTGGTCTTGAACACTTAGAGGCATTGGAATATTAAAAAAATCCAGGTTTTTTGAAGAAAAACCTTTGCACTTTAACCCTTTTTCTTGCAAAGTTAGTTTGGAAACTCCATTAAAGGACTTTGGTACATTATTGGATTGATACCCTTAAATCTTTTTCTTTAGTTGTTGCCTACATTCACAAAGTGATCTTTTTTATAAACACTCTTTCCTCGAGTTGAAGTTACCCTTTTTCCTCTCCCTGCCCAGGTCGTGGTGGAAACGTTTGGCTCAGTCCCATGGGCTGTGCCCTGTGCACTCTGCACATCTCCATCCCTCTACATTCCAACTTAGGCCAGAGAATTCCTTTTATCCAGCACCTGGTGTCCTTGGCAGTGGTAGAGGCAGTCAGATCCATACCAGGATATGAGGTATGTCCTACTAATTCATCTCCAAATTCCTGCTTCCCCTTGCCATGAAATTCAGATTTTAGCTGTGTCTTTTCTGTGTGGAAAGGCTGAATGCATAATTCACTTCTTCAGCACTAAGGAGAACCTAAACATAACCTTGCTAATGTTTGATTACTGATATATTTGAAGAAATCCAATATCCATGGGATGAATATTCTTCTGCTGAGCTGATCAAATGTACTACACTCATTAATCTCATGAAACTTAAGCCTCAATCCTCAGCAATAAAGAAAAAGTCAATTTTGTTTGCCCAGCAATGGAGTTGATTCGGTTTGATTTTGAAGGAGAATAAGGAGGAGGGAAAAATGAGTAAAACTGACAAATCCTTTTCTGCTTTTTTGTTAGTGCTGTTTCAGTGGTCACTTTATCCCTTTTAAAGGATTTTTCCAACCCTTGTTTAAGGTTGAAAACTGATTTCTAAAGCAAGAACTGAGGAGAATTGCTCTCAAGAGGGAATCAAGTGTCCTGTCATCAGTATTAAAATGAAGAACCAGTCTTCTTTATCACCTCATATATCTCCTTTTTAATGTTACCATTTCCTAATATTTGCTAACTATAAAACTTTGGTATTTTACAGAAGTAGTTAACTGAAGCATATGTTTCCTATATTACAGAAAATCAATGACTTATACACATTTACACATGAACTTTATTATAGTGGCACCCAGTAGCTTTGCTGGAGTTTAGGGTCTGTCAGCCTTTCTATTAAAACCTTCTAAATTCAGTGCTTCATAACCTGGCTGGAAAAACAAAATGCTTCAGGCTAAAATTTGCAATATAAAATATTTGGCTGGAGTGGATAATTTGACCACTTGAAAACGAAGGGACAAGAGTTGGTTTTATAAAATACGGAGATGGCTGGGAAAAGAGCTGGTTTATGAATGGAGGTGGTTTTGCTTCTGTGTGCTTGCCCTGGTGGACTGTGGCATTTTTAAATTTTATTCTGTTGAAGAGGAGAAAGGTGACTGAAGTATGAAATATTGATGTAAAAAATGTGTGTACTGTACTGAGCATTTGGACAGTAAAGAGCTTTCTGTGAGCGGGACAGATCTGCTGAACATGAGGGGACATCAGCCCTTGGCAGGGGGGCAAAACAGAGTTCAGGGCCTGGACCCAAATGTGTTACAGCAAGAAAATTCAAAAATTTATCAGAAACTCAGTGCTTGAATTTCCCCTTTAGACCCAAGTACTGCAAGGCTTTTATGTCTTTATTCTCTTTATGTCTTTATGTCCAGTCATGCCAACTGCAGCAGCCAAGAACAATGGGATAATCTACAAAGTCATGGAATTATGGAGTGGTTTGGGCTGGAAGGGATCTGAAAGGTCATTCCAACATCTGCCATGATCAGGGACACCTCCCACTGTCCCAGGTGCTCCCAATGTCCAGCCTGGCCTTGGGCACTGCCAGGGATCCAGGGGCAGCCCCAGCTGCTCTGGCAATTCCATCCCAGCCCCTGCCCACCCTGCCAGGGAACAATTCCTGCGCAAGATCCCAAGATCCAGCCCTGCCCTCTGCCACTGGCAGCCATTCCCTGGCTCCTGGCCCTGCAGCCCTTGGCAATTGTCTCTCTCCAGCTTTCCTGGGGCTCCTTCAGGCCCTGCAAGGCCACCCTGAGCTCAGCCCAAAGCTTCTCCTGGCCAGGCTGAACAATGGCAGCTGGGCCAGCCTTTCCTGCCAGCAGAGCTGCTCCATCTCTCTGCTCATCCTGGAGCCTCCTCTGGGCTGGTTCCAGAAGGTCCATGTCTCAGTTTATCAGCCAGTCACGGTTTTTAGGATGGCTACAATTACTGACTCTGCTGAACCAGCAGCGACCAAGGCCTTTGTGGGCCCTCCCAGAGCAGATCTGAGGGCTCTGATGGAAGTTCTCTTGTCAGATGTTAGTGCTGAGGATGGAAATGGGCTTTAAATCAAGAGGATGCTTTGCTCTCCCATTCTGAGAAGAGCAGAGTCTCTCTAGTGAGGGAAGGCAAGAACGTGCTCCATTTCCAGCATATTTTGTGGTACCTGGAGAATCCACTCCGTGCCAAAGTCATCAGAACACCCAGCTGCCTCAGTTGTTCTTGCTGCTTGTTGTCACTTCAGTCACAGAGCTACTGTCTGGTGTCTTACAGGTGTGTGTTTCCACTTTTGGAAGCCCTTTTAGCACTGAGAACACCATTTCACTGTGTCCTACCTCCCAGCCTCCAGAGTCTCCTATAAACCTTTCCCCAGTGCAAGGAGCCAAGCTCTTTTCCATAATGAATATGAGTTGGTGATACTTTCCCTCAGAATGCTTTGATAGCAAAATCAGGTAGTATTTCCTGTCAGTGGACGTGTCATGGACTCCTCCCTGGCCTTTAAATCTGTCAGGAAAGTAGACACGGACCCAGGTGCAGCTTTCACACATCCTGTAAAGGGATTTCATCCCCTACAACAGGAGGGAAGGAGACTCTTGTAGGCCTGGAGCACCTCCCATAATTTGTCCCTGGAGATGCAGCAGTCACGGGCACTGTTTCAAACTGCAGGAAGCACATTTGCTTTCTCTCTGTGTTTAAGTAGCCAGTGCAAAGTTCAGCTCAGCCCTGTGGTTTCAACAAAAGCTGCTCTGTGGGGCTGGGACCTTGTCACACAGCTCGGTTTGTGTTCGAGGGCAGGGAAAGCTTTAGGACATTTCTAAAGTATTTATGTGGTTGGGAACAGGGATTTCTCCTGTCTGCTGAATTTCCTTTCCAAAATTCAGGATGTCACTGTCTCCTTGGCTGGTTCCTGCAAGGTTCCTCAGGCAGGGTTGCATTTTCAGTAGCGCTTGTGGAGCACTTCAGCAGATTCTCATTATGAGGAGAACTTGGCTGTGGTGCACTGGGTGTGGCAAAGAGGTGGAGAAGATTCTCCTCCTCTGCCCTGCTCAGGTGAGACCCCACCTGCAGAGGAGGAGATTCCAGCTCTGGAATTCCCAGCCCAGGGAGCAGCTGGAGCTGCTGGAGAGAGCCCAGAGGAGGCTCCAGGATGAGCAGAGGGATGGAGCAGCTCTGCTGGCAGGAAAGGCTGGCCCAGCTGCCATTGTTCAGCCTGGCCAGGAGAAGCTTTGGGCTGAGCTCAGGGTGGCCTTGCAGGGCCTGAAGGAGCCCCAGGAAAGCTGGAGAGAGACAATTGCCAAGGGCTGCAGGGCCAGGAGCCAGGGAATGGCTGCCAGTGGCAGAGGGCAGGGCTGGATCTTGGGATCTTGGGCAGGAATTGTTCCCTGGCAGGGTGGGCAGGGGCTGGGATGGAATTGCCAGAGCAGCTGGGGCTGCCCCTGGATCCCTGGCAGTGCCCAAGGCCAGGCTGGACATTGGGAGCTCCTGGGACAGTGGGAGGTGGCCCTGCCATGGCAGGGGGGGCACTGGGTGGGCTCTGAGGTCCCTTCCAGCCCAAACCACTCCATGATTCTCTACAAACTCTGGAGTGATGAATGAGCCTTAAACATCTCTAAATGTCTGGTTTTGTTTCTTCAGGACATTGAGCTGCGAGTGAAGTGGCCAAATGATATTTACTACAGCGATCTGATGAAGCTCGGTGGAGTTCTGGTAAACTCAACACTCATTGAAACAACATTTCATATTCTCATTGGTAAATGTCTATTTTGAAGCTTTTCTGTGCTGGGTTGGTTTTTTTTTCCTGGAGGATTTTGTTATCAGTGTCTGTATCAGTAAAAATGGCAATGATGAGAACAAATAATGACAGCAGGCACAGGGAAATAAAGCACGACGTTAAATCCAGAGGAAGCACAAAAAGTAAATGTTTTCATTCTTCTTAATAATTCCATATGCTTGACAAGTAAAACATAAATGCAAGCATCTGGATTGGTGTAGCAGAGTTCAAAGGAAGAGCATTATTTGGGAGAGGGAAATTATTCTCCTTGATTTATTGCAAAGCCAGTGGAATACACTGAAACTCCATCCTTTTTTTTCCAAATGATGTATTTTTTTTAATATGACCAATAGTTAAATGAAGAACATGCCTTTTAAATCAGAAGAAGAGCTACATACACAGAGTAATGTTTTCATTTTTTAATTATTGAGGTGTTCTTTATCATCTCTAGTCTGAGAATCATCCTGCTATTTGATAAGGAAGTTTTTCCCCTGATCAGCAGCATCCCAATTCTGCTTAGAAACCAGCCAGATCCCGGTTCCAAAAGTAATTGTCTCTCTGCTGTGTCTAGAAATTGAAAGAAAATTCCTTAGCAAGTCTAAAAGGGTAAAGAAAAAGATGATATTTGATATTTGAATGTAGCACAAGTATCCTGCAAAGACGGAGTGGTCATGATGTCGTTTCTGTCAAAGTTCTGTGATTTTAGAGGTGCAAGAGAGAAAAGAGTTGAAGAAGTCACCTCATCCTGTGAAACATGCCCAGACACAACATTTCCATCTCAATTTTATACCTTCATTTTCTAAATAATCGACATGAACAGAATGGAAATTGCACCGAAACTTAAGAAATCTCTCTGTGCCCCATCAACCCTTTACAGCTTCCGTGTTTTCCTACAGCCTGCTCAGCACAAGGAGAGCAGAAACACATCCAAAATTAGTTCATTTTATCAAGGGTCTCTTGGGCACTTATTTGGTTTGGACCTTTTGATTCTTACCCTAAACATCCAAATATTCCAGTTCAAATGGAGACTTTCTGTATCCATTCTCTCTGATATCCGTAGGTGTCATCTGGTAGGTCTGAGGTACAGGTAAATGTCCATTTTCATCAGTCTGTCTTCACCTTGGAGCTTTTAAAATTGAAACTTGCTTGCTCCATATGAATCCAAGGACCTTTTCCATCATTCCAGGGTTTCACTGGGAGTCCTAGAGGGGCCTCATGACATTTGAGTTTTTGTGTTTAGTGGGAGTGATGGGAATTCAGCTTCCCAACAGGAGAGGTGGGTCAGATCCATCACCCCTTCTCCACAGGCATGAAGGATCCTTCCCTAGACAGAATCCCAGGATCCCTGGTGCTGGAAAAGCCCTCGCAGCCCATGGAGTCCCAGCTGTGCCCGATGCCCACCTTGTCCCCAGCCCAGAGCCCTGAGTGCCACGTCCAGCCCTTCCTTGGGCACCTCCAGGCACTGAACTCTCTCTTTCTGTGGCATTCCCAGGAATCTCCCATAAATGAGGATAATGATGAAAATCAAAGATCATCTCTGTGGTGTCACTGCTCCAAGAAGGAGTTCAGGAGAGTAAAACCAAAGACAAACCTGTGTTTTCACTGCTGGAGCCTTGCAGATGACGCGCTTCACGCCGAGACTTTTAAACACAGCTTGAAAAAGAAAACAACCAAAAGGCTTTTTTTTTTCAATCTGAAATTTAAAATTGAGGAACTTTCCGGTGTTGGGACTTCTGGAGAGGGAGTTCTGAGAAGAATATTCACCATTAATGCGAGGGCCAGACTCGGAGCAGGCGGAGGAGCCAAGCACCAGTGGAATGCAGGGGACAGCCAGCGAGCGTGACCTGCGAACGCTGCTCTGCCTCTGCTCAGGCACGTCCAGATCCTCATGGATCCACCACTGGAACATCCATCAGCCACATCAGCACTGCAGGGCCACTGCTGAGTGCTCACTTCTCTCCTGGACACTGCAGAGATGCCCCCAGAGCCCTGAGCACCTCGTGGTTCTCAAATTTCCTGGCTGCCTTTTCCCCTTTGCCGCGTCCATTCCCAGGCGTTGGGAATTCCCAGCTGAGCTCCCCGTCCCAGGGTGGCTGTTGTGTCCCACTTTTGGGATTGCTGAGCGGTGATCCTGAGGCTGCTGATGGACCCCAAGGCCCTGTGACCCCCTTAGTGGCCACGGTGTCTCTCCTCCCTCGCACTGCATGGGAGTGTGAATGGCTGAGTTGGGATTTGCTGGCGCTGCTCGTTGCGTTTTCCAGTTCATTTTCCTTTATCTCTTTCCAGTTTCCCATTTCAGCTCATTTCCGCAGGCCTGGTGTGCTGGGATCACCGTGCCTTGTTTGTGTGCATTCCCTGGCTTGTGAAAAATCAAAAACTCCTTCTCTCTGAAGAGATCCTTCTCCTCAAAGTTAACACAAATTATTAATTATTAATAGCAAATTTAAAAATCAAGACATCTGCACCTCCTTGCAGATGGAGCTGCATCATGTCCAAACCTGATTGACAAACAGGGGATTTTATCCCAAATGTCTGAGGAAAGGAAAAAAAAACAAAAAACAAATTATTAGGAGAAAAAAAATAAACAGGTAATACAATATATTTCTTTACATCCCTCGAAGCCTGTTTCAGCAGGCTGCAGAAAAGGCCCCAAGAGCCGTGTTTAAACAAGGGAGGCATTCTGCCAACTCAGAATTTGGGAATTCCAGCTGGAGAAATCAGCGAGAGGCTTGAGGCTTCTAAAGGATATGCTGTGGTGAGATAGATTAGGCAAACTGGAGTCTTACAAAGTTAAAATCAAATCTTCTGGGCTTTCCCCAGCAAGCCAAACAAGGCTTATCAGCTGAGTGAAAAGTCTGGATTTTTGGAAAGGGCACTCAACTCACTGCAGTAAACAGAAAGGGCTCTGAGCTAAATTTTATATTGGGAGATAAAACTCCATTTTGGGGTAGGATCAGTTGTTCCCTGAGTGGGCTTCCAGGGACTAAAAGAATGTCTCCCATGGATGGGTTTGGACCCAAGGCACAGTTTATCCTCTCCCAGCCCTCTCTGATGGGGTGGGGTTGAAAGGCTGTGCTGGATTTGCCTCTGTGATTCTGAGGAGGCATTTTGGGGGCAAGGAGCAAAATCTGAGCTGAGAGTTGTAATTACAGGAGTAAGAAGATTCCAAGGTGTAAGAGACAGAGTGAAAGCAGCTCTGGGAGCCATCCCAAGGGATAATTGTACGGAGCAGGTGAATTAGGCTGAGTTTGTCTCTTTGATCCTGTCCTTCTCTTTGTCTTCTGCAGGCTTTGGATTTAATGTGAATAACAGCAACCCCACCATCTGCATCAATGACCTCATTGCAAAGTTTAACAGGGAAGAGGGGACAGAGCTGAAGCCTCTGAGTGCAGATTGTCTCATTGCAAGGACTGTGACTGTGCTGGAGAGGCTCATCGAGATTTTTCAGGAGAAGGGGCCCAATGGAGTTCTTCCCCAGTACTATAAGTATTGGGTACACAGGTAAGAATTCTGTTCTTCACAAAGCTTCTTTTTATAAGATTGGTGGAAGTACTCATGGATATTTTGTCTTTTTCCACGGAATTCCCTTTAATATGAGTGAATAATTTAAATACGCCCCCGAGCCGGATGCACATTTTTAAGGGAGAATCAAAGTAGCACATAATAAATCAGTGACTAGCACGAGTTCAAGAATGCTTCCAGGTATTTTACATGTATCATCTCCAAACAAAGGGAATTGGCAATGATTTGGTTTGAGATGGAGGGAGCTGCTGTACTTTTAGGGGGGGGAAAAACAACAGATTGCTTGGATTAACTCCAACTCCATCCGTTGCACAGAAGGAAATTAAAGCAGGTAGAAAATGCTGCTGCAAGTCACTCTGAGGAAAGGAGCAGTGAGGTGGGAAATAAAATATTCTGTTCAAGGGTGAAGCCTTTCCTGTGAGGGTTGGGAGGCCCTGGCACAGAGCAGCTGTGGCTGCCCCATCCCTGCAGTGCCCAAGGCCAGGTGGGACAGAGCTTGGAGCAGCCCAGGACAGTGGAAGGTGTCAGGGTTGGGATGATCTTTAAAGTCCTTTCCAACCCAAACCATTCCATGATCCATTTAATGATTCTGGTGAGTCCTCTGAGGTGATTCTGATGCCTTGGAGTGGCTCCCTAGAGCAGGGCCTAGACAAGGTTAAAAGAATAAAGTGGGTGTTTATTAAAGGCCTGGGGCAGTCAGAAGCCTCCCCGCGGCTCCCCTCAAGGTGGAAAATGGTCAGGAGTTTTTCAGACAATTCTGAGTTTGGTCCATTTACATATCAGGGGTTAATGCTGCAATTACAGCTTCAGCTAATGAAGTAGTTTATCCCCAGTTTGCTCCCCCACAATTCACTTTTGTTTGTACTTTTTGGGGCCTGAGGCTGTGGGGTGTCCTTGGATCTCAGGCCTAAAGGGATTGTTTTGTCTGACCAAAATGTGAAGACGGTAACTGACCCTTTATGAGGAGTTTGGAGTTGTGCACTAATGCAGGACAGGATTTGAAAAATATAAAAACTGAAATCCTAAGGCACCAATTTTAGCTGTTCATGAATTGCTGACAGAATTCTCTCCATCCCAGCGGGAAGCAGGTCCGGCTCCACCACGAGGAGGGCCCGGTGGCCTGGATTGTTGGGATTGATGACTATGGATACCTCCAGGTGCACGAGGAGGGCAAAGGCGTGGAGTCTGTGCACCCTGATGGCAACTCCTTTGACATGCTGAGGAACCTCATCGTCCCCAAGCACTGACAGCCCACAGGGACCTCCAGTCCTGGCCACTGTCACCTCAAGGTGACGGGGGTAACCCAAAGTTTCATTTTTCCTTCTGATTTTCTGCTTTGTGTTTGCCATGGGTGACTTCAGCAGCTGAAAAGAGGTGGTGATCTCACAGCTGAAGGCTTTTATTCTTTTAGTTAACTTTAAAACACACCTCTGTTGCCATTCTTTTTAAGGATCTGTTCTTTGCAAGGAGACTGATTGCCAAGAAATATTTGTAGTGAACAGAACTTTCTCTTCATTTACACCTTATACTGGAGAGACTGAAGTGGCTCAATATTTCCTTTTTTTTGTTGTTTGTTTCTGTGTGACTTAGCACAGTGCAGGACAGTATTTACTTTTTTACTTCGTGTTTTTTTAAACTAAATTCTGTTTTTCTGTGTTGTCTGCACTAAAACCAGCTGGAACATCACATATTCCTGAATTGCTGGGATCACCACTGTGCTTAATTCCAGGTCTGAGTGAAGATCCTTGCTGATTTGGTTCTTCTCTGTGTAGACCTCTACAATAATTTACCAACCTGTGCTTTGATCTCAGGTCTGCAACTCTTAATGGCTGCCTTGAGTTTTTGGGAGAGTTTTCCATCAGCACTTAGGAGCTGAGCTTGGTTATCCAAGGGATTTGCACTCTGCTCTCCCCAGTCAGTTTTATCTGAGTAAAGCAGCTCATCTGTCTTTTAAATCACAATTTTCCAAGAGGTTTCAGCTCCCGGAAGAAAATCCCACTGGAGTAATGTCACACCCAGGTTATTGTAGAATCCCATCTCAGGGGATGGAACCTCTAATTAATTTAGAATTTAGTGGTAATTATATCACCATTTCAATGAAGTTGAGTGAATAAATAAAGGGAATAAATCGAATTCCCTGCTGCAAACAACTGCTCCAGTGAAAAAGAGAAATCACACCGTTCCCCCGTGTCCAAATTCTCCTCTGTAGCTCTGTTGTCACCTCCCTTTCCCAAGCCTGGTTTTGCTGCTAAGCACTAAAAGCAAGAGCTTTAACACCTGCTGGCCTGAAAGCAGCTCATTTTTGGGGCTGCCTGCACATTTCCAGGTGGGGGGAACAGCCTGGGAATTCTCCTGGAGCAGCCACGTGGGAGCTTGGTGGGGTTTTCTCCCTCCCAAGGAGACTTGGCCACCACAGCCCCTCAAATAATTCTGAGCCAAGCAGGTTTGTCCCAGGTGTGATGTGGCCACCTTAATTTCTTCTCTTCGTGGTGGATCAGCCAGATTGGTTTCCAGAAAGGAAACCAATTTCTGCTAGCCAGAAATGGGGTTTTTAGGTTAAAGTTCACCTCATTAACAATCCAAACATTTTAGATTGTTTCAGCTCCAAAGCCAGGAAGTCTTAAAACAAGGAAACTTGTCTGTAATGGTAATTTTGACCAATCCTCACATTTTAGGGTTTAGGTGGTTTGGCAGCAAGAGTAGAAATTAAATTGTCCCTGTTAAATAGAGGATTTTATGCTCCATCTCACAGAAGATTTGCCTGATTGTCCAAACCCTGCTGGGTTTTTTTTTTTTTTCACCCATAATCCAAATCACATAAGGCTGCACATCAGCATCTCCTAGAGCTGCACACAATTAATTATTAATTACCATCATTGAAGTGATACACCAAATTCAGCTTTTTCCCACCAGATGCTTTCAAAACTGCTTTGGGCTGAGAACCTTTGGCAGCTTTGATATCAGAATTCAATTTTAATGCATGTTGTAATCAACTGGAACTCGAGTCTGGCTTAATAAAGCCTCAACAATAAGAAGAACCCATATATTTATATATAATCTACAAAAAATGGGTGTGCACATGCACACTCACATCTTCCTGCTGCATCCTCGTTTATTTTCTGCCTTTTCCTTCACGAGCAAACTGTGCAGCTGCAGGGAGGCAGAGCTCTGGTGCTGCTTTTGCAAGTACAGAGTTTTACAAAACTTCATCTTGATCCAGAATTTGTAGCTAAAACTGTCTCAGCTTTAGGGTTTGCCCTTAGGAAGCACCTCTGGGTTTTGTTCATGTTCCACCCAGACTGGGAAGTGCCTGGAGGGATTGAACAGCCAGGTCGTGCCTCAGGCTGAGGTTTGAATGGCTCCCTTCAAACTTCCCTTCAAACTGCCTTCTCCAGGGACAAAAAAAGGTGAGGAAAAGGATAAAACATGGGAATTTTGGAAGGGCAGGATGAGTTTGTAAAGCTTCAGTGGCTGAGCAGCAGCAGAAGGATTTTTTAATATCAAAATGCTGCAACGTTTCCTGGTTGCTGTTGGTCCTTTTGTAGCTGCGTTCATGATGAGCTGGTTCTGTTCTTACTTGGAGTTGTCAAGTTATTCCCAACATTTTTGCCTTGGGAAGAAACTTGAGTGGAATTTCCTTGCCCAAGCCTGGATGTGCCAGAGCCCAGGGGGTGCTGTGGGAACCACTTCGCCTTTTCAGTGGCCTCTCCTGCTGTCTCAGCCTTCCAGCCTGGATTTGGATGAAGGATTTGTTGCTTTCCCTTCAGAAGAAACCAAGACAAGGAGAATTCCCATGGGACCAGGATAAATTCCTTGTGGATGAGTCCTTGGAGAATCCCTGGCTGTGTCAGGTGGATGGGAAGCACAAGAGTCCGACTCTTCCTCTGCCGAAGGCGGCGCGCCCAGAAAGCCGCAACATTTTTCGCAGGAAAATCCTGGTTTTTCTTGTTCTCCGTGTGTGACAGACAAATGTGGTGTGGGGTGTCCCTGGATGTGGGGATGGAGAGATCCAGGCAGCTCCAGGCCCAGGAATAACGCTCTGAAAATGTTTCATTTCGTTCAGCTGTCTGGATTAGTAAAACACCTCTTCCATTGCAAGGCTGAGCTCATATCTTAAACTATTTTCTTGATGAAGTGCTTTCAGAAAACTCATTTATTACGATGTCCGGATTTCTGGGACTTCATTTTTTTATTTTTTCCCCCCTGCTGGGGCTCTGGTAGAACATTTCTCATGGTGAAAACATTTGTGGGGGTTGTTTATTGATAGGAAAACTCCTGGGTGTGTTGGCACGTGTGCGAGTCCAGGGTGGGTCGTGCCCAGTCAGCAACAAAGCTGCTTCCAAAGGTTTGAAAAAGTAATAATAATGTATTTCACATTTCAGAGTCCAGCACATCCTGCTTCTAGTAAAGCTTTTATAAGACTTCAGAGCTTTTTTTTTTTACTTTTTTTTAAAATATATCCAACAAATCAAGGGCTATTACCTGGAAATAATATTAAAGCGTTTAATTCTTTATGCTGCTGCTTCACCGTGCAAAAATTCGTTTCTTTGCTTCCTCTGATTCAGCTGCAAAAAAATTCCTTTTTTGCAACTCCTTTGGAAGTCTCTATAATCAAGATATCTGTCATGGGAAAGATTTGTGCTGGTTCCTGGGGGTAACTGCTTTGAAAAAAACATTTGCATGTTTAAGTGGTGCTGGGGATGCGCTGCCTTGATCAGACACCAAAGAAATTAAATCTGGGCCCAGGAAAGAGCAGAGGTCAAAAAATGATGGAGAAAAGAAAACTGCAGGGAAGAATTGTCGAGTGTTGAGCATCTCATTCTGCGTTATTTGCATTTTCCAAGTGTCTTCATTTAAAATGCAACGTGGCAAAAATACAATATATTAAAAAAAAAAGGTCTGTGTGTGTTTTATAGCACATTAATTGTCAATTATAGAATTGTGTCACAGCTTGAAATAAATTTTCAAATATGCAGCATTGTCTTTTGTGAAATAACTTTGTTTTGTATTTAATATAAAAAAAAAAAGGAATTCAACTCAGTTTTCCTTTGGCTACAGGATTTTATTAACATTTTAACAGGTTTGTTTTACATAATAAATAAGCAAAAATGCTTTACATTTTTAGGGAATACATATATAATTCTGAGCATGGATAGGTTGGTTGGGTTGCGTGCTTCTTCACCTACACTTGCCAAATAGCTTTTATCTGCATCATATTAAAAAAAAAAAGCAAAATCTAACCTTCAGGAAAAAAATGGAATAACAACATTTCCTCTGTGGAGTTTCTGAAGTGTGACTGAAATGCTGAAAAAAACCCCAATTTCTGTCCTCTCTTGAGAGTTCTGGAGAAATTCTGGCAGATTTCTCATTCATTGGCACTTTCAGTGATGAATTTCCTAATTTTGCACAGATTTTGCTGAATTTCCTTAAATTTCCTTTTTCAAATCACAGGGCACAGAAACCTGGGGACAAATCTGTGCCTTTCTCACCTCATTTTATTTCCACTGCACTGCTTCCAAAATTTGGAGACTTCAATTTGGGATTCACTTTTCCAGCTTTACCTTGGTCTGGTGGAAGATTCCCTGACTTCCAAGGGGTTGGAATGAGATCTTTAAAGTCCCTCCCAACCCAAATTTTCTATGATTTTGGTCAAATATTCCCTCTTTCACTCTCTTTCTCCCTCTTTCCACGATTTTCTTGCCAGGTCTGAACTCCCCTGAGAGTTAAAATCTTGTGAAGTCTCATGACAAAAGAGTGGTTCAAATGCTAAAGAGAAATGAAGTTATTTTTCATCATTTATTTCAATTCCCATTCCCCTTCACTGCCATAATTATTATTTTTTTTGTTATTAAAAACATTTTTCATTATTAAAACTCTGCCACTGTGATGGCAATGCCCTGGTAGCCGACCAAAACTCCTGTTTTTCTCCCAGTGGAATTTACTCCCAGATGGGAATCGCTGTTTTAAATCTTGGAGGGGCAGGAAAAAACAAAAATAAAAAAATAAATCCTTCCCACATTTGCTTTTGCCATTTTTTTCAGCACCTTCCCCCTGCATTATCAGCTGTGAATTCCTAATTGGTTCATTATTGCCTCACCTCCCCTAAAACACCTGGGGGAGGATGATGGAACACCTCCTCTGCTCAGGCTGCTGGAGTAAATCCTGGAAGTGGGAATAACAAGGTGGAAAATGGGAATAACAAGGTGGAAAAATACCGAGCTGAAAGAGATCGATGGCGGGTTTTTTGTTTTTTTTCAAGCAAAACCTAATTTTTGTTGTTTTTCTAGCAAGGAACACCCAAATGCAGCAGTGCCACTAATGAGGGAGAAAGTGCAGCAGGAGGGGTTGGGCATCAGGTTTCTTTTTAATGATGCCAGCCATGCCAGTGGCTCCTTTGTAGAGCATGGGTTTCATTTAATTGAAGAAAATTAACCCAGGAGTCTTGGCATAATTATCTTTTCAGGATTTTGGGGTCGTTTATGAGGAGCAGGGGCTGGGAGGGCTCTCAGCCACAGCCACTGGAAAAGCAACCGGTGGCTCCTGGCTTTGATTTATGGGGTCAGCACGATTATAATCCACATTTACAGCTTTTCTGGAGATTTGCCAGCTTCTCCAGCATTAAACAAACCGAGGTTACAGAGGGGGAGACTCTGCTGGATTGGTTCTGGTTTGGCTTTTTTTGTAATCGTTGATTTGGGTTTTTTTTTTTGTTCTGTTTAGCACAAAATGTATTTTTCATGCAGCTGAAAAAGCCAACTGAGAGTGTTCAGTTCAAGCTCACTTTCAAGTGAACGTTAATTTGATAATAAAGCTTTCTCTGTTAACCTTTAATGGGAGGGAATTAAAAAAAAAACTTCTGAAAATTATTTTCAAGCTTTTGCTTTTAAAGTATTTTTGTGTACTCATAGCAACAAATATTAATACACAGAAGGAAATAACTTTATTATTATATTCTAATGGAAAGTTCCCATTTCAGGATCTTGGAAGTGGATGAGCTTTAAGGTCCCTCCCAACCCAGACCATTCTGGGATGAATTATTGCTGCACAGAAAAAAGGGAGAACATGGAAGTTTTACGACTGAGTAGTGCATTATGATTTTTCTGACAAGGTGCAATCCATGAGCGTTCTTTTCCATATTACACAAACCAGGTAAGAATTTTCTTCAAGGAATCATGGAATGGTTTGGATTGGAAAGAACCTTCAGGCTCATCCATGGGCAGGGAACCTTCCA